AAAAAAAAAATGTATTGTCTCACAGTTCCAGAAGGCTAGAAGTCTGAAGTCAATGTGTTGGCAGAGCCATGCTCTCAACAAAGTCTCTAGGGGGTGATCCTTTCTTGCCCCTTCCAGCTTGGAGCAGCCCTAGATATTCCTTGATTCATGACAGCCTAACTCAGATCCTTGCCTCCGTTTTCACACGGCCTCCTCCTTGTGTCTTCACATGGCCACCTTCTTATAAGGACATCAGTAATGTTGAATTAGGGGACTGCCCCACTCAAGTATGATGTCATCTTAACTAATTACATCTTCAATCACTCTAGTTCCAGGTAAGGTTACATTCTGAGGTACTGAGAGTAAAGATTTTAACATGTATTTTTAGGGGTAGACACAATTCAACCCATAACACTAAATAATTCCAAATTATTCTTTAAGTTGGTTGTACCAGTGTTCCAGTAACAATGTATTAGAATTCACTTTTTTTTACCTACTAAGCATTAATAGATATTATATCTAATTTTATGGCTACAAAATGGTACTTCCCTGTCGCATTTTTATTACTAATGAAATTAAACATCTTTTTACATGTATAATATGTATCCTGGTTGCCTCTTCCATGAATTGTTTATTCATGTCCTTTGTCTGTTTTTCTATTGGGTTGTTTGCCACTTTTTATTGATTTGTAGGAGGTCTTCATAGTTTTTGGATACTAATGTTTACCTAAATGGCTATATTTTACATATTTAACAATTAAAACTTAATCTTCAATACAACTAACTTACTCTGTTAACCTAAAAAGAGAAAATTGAAAATCTGGGGATAGAGGAGTCATACACAGCATTTGTCAACTATTGTGGGAGCATGAGAATGCAGCCAGCTCACCATTATATATACATACATACACACAAACATCTCCACACGGATTGTTCTTACTCCTCAGGTGAAATTGCAACTGCCAGGCAAGTAGGAAAACTTAACATGATACCAGTTCCTTTAGCAGAGGAATGATAGGGACTTTTCATGACTTAGAATATAATTAAAGGGAAAATGAAGGCAAGCCTCAATAACTAGTTTCAATAGTTTCCTCTGTTATTCATATAAAACATTACTGTAGGGCTAATCAAACAACCTGAGTGTTGACATGCTGAAAAATTTCATATATATTTGAAAGAAATACTGGAAGATTTAATGAACCACTTGGAGAAAGCCAACAAAATGAAATCAAATTTTGACAATGGATAAAACCCATGCTACTTTTAGAGTTTATTCTATGTGCAAACATTTAGGAACAAGACGAGAAGAAAGAATACAAAGAATTCTATTAGTGCTCAGTAGGATTTTGGATATGACAACTTTTTAAAGTATAATTTGCCCATTCCTAAAAGTAGTGTAAGTATATACATATACATATATATATATATATATATATATATATATACACACACACACACACATACACACACACACAGTCATATTTGTACACACATGTAAATAAATATACATGCAAATAAGGAAATACATACACTTGTATATAGGAATACACAAATAAAAAATTGAGAAACTATATGCAAAGTTATACTACTTTAAAATCAAGTACACTTTTTCTTCAGCTTTCTCTAAACATAAATTTTTGTCTATTTTTTAAATTTTGTTGACTGTAAAGTAGTCAGGATAAATTACAGGTTATGCTTCAGTAACAGATTAACTCTGATATCTTGGTGTCTTAACATAACAAAGTGTTCAGTACAAGAGTACTTCACTTATTCCACAAAGTCTCTGACTGATGGAAGTATATAACCAAAAATACAGTTTCAAAACTCTTTTCAGAGAACAGTAGAAGGAGTAGAAAATCACTCAAGGAGACTTTCTGCTCACAATTCATGGACAAGAACTAGACAGTTGTCCTACTTAATTGCAAGAGACCTGGGAAGGGTAGTCTTCCTTATACCCAAGAAGAAAAGAGAACTGGATATTACTAAGCTTTATAATATTTACCAGAACTGATATGCTTTCTTTTCTTTTTTATTTTAGAGTGGTGGTGTTTTTTTCTTGGTAAGAGTTTCTGAGGAATTTGGCCTTACATCTTTTTATCTTATGCAACACAACCTTGTCTGAGTTATCAGGAATTTCCATGTGTAATGTTATGTTGGCATTTTTAATCTATCATATTGCTTATTAAATTCCTTTCTGGAAAGGATCAGCTTAATATAGCACAGATACAGTTGACAGATATGAGCAGAAAGCATCACGGGAAGGTAGCAGGCAGGGAGCACTCCATAGCCATTACCTCTTTAAGTTTACCTCATGGAATTTCCAGTCTCACCATTGCAACAAAACAGGAGTTTCTCAACCTTGAGATTAGAAAGTAATACATTTTAATTTATCAAGAATTTGAATACTATTCCTCCTCCACTAACATGGTCATTTGCATTTGATTTTACTTTTTAATAAATATATGGCCCTTTCTCATTTCCTATAAAGAGGCAGCAATTAATTAGCCACAAGAAAAACTGAGATAATCCAAAAAATACATAAGGTAGAAAAAGTCATTTTCAGGTTTAATAATAAAAATATGCATTTTCATAGCTTTGGAAGGGAAACTGAGAATGAAGCTAAAATCAAATTTATAGCTGTGCTATAAATTTTGAGAACTTTTGCTTTGCCTTTTATAAATGGAGAGGTTTGACAGAAATTCATACCTTTATCACTGGGCACAGTGACCCACGCTTACAGGCCTGGTTAGTATCGTGTAATGGATATTACACTTTAATTTTAATCTCTGCTTCATATATTATTTTTATTTGAGAAGGGTGGAAGATAAAATCTATTGATCATGAACTTACAGGCTTTGTCATCTAAAATTTAAAAATATTCTTAGTTCAAACTAATTGTATTTGCCTTCATGACCTGGTTCTAATACCATCTCTACCATATTTTAGAACTCACTAGAAGCAATTAAATGTTTATTTTCTTGTCAATTCATAGCCATTTGTTAACCAATTCTTTTAATAAGGAATTAACTACTTTAAAAAAATTAATTGGGTATTGACTTTCTCATCTAAGGGATGTTGAACTACCTGGGAATAGAAAGCATATTTTGTTTCATACTAAGAAAAAGCCTGTATTAGTTTCCTATGACTGCTGTAACAAATTACTTCAAACATGGTAACTTAAACCATGGAAATCTATCCTTCCAAAGTCTGGAGGCCAGAATGCGCAATCAATTTCACTGAGATAAACTAATAAGCACCAGCAGGGCTGGATCTCCACTAAGGGTCTAGGAGAGAATTTGTCCCTCGACCCTTCCAGCTCTGGCGGCTGTGAGCATGCCTTCACTGTGGTCACACTGCCTCATTCCCCTCTCTCTGTGTCTGATCTCCCTCTGACTCTCTCTTGGAAAGATGCTTATGATGGCATTTAAGACCGAATCAGATAATCCAGAGTGATCACTCCATTTCAAGATTTTCATTACATAATAAAGACCCTTTTCCCCAAATATGACAGCATTCACAGATTCCAGGAATTAGGACATGGATATATCTTTGGGAGTTGTATCAGGCTACCACATACACAACCATTACCCAACCTGGAGCACAGTCTTTAGAAAATAATAGGCAGTCAAGAACATCTTTAGAACAGTCTCTGTTTCTCTGTCCCTCTGATTGCAATGTCTCTTTTCTCTACTCTTCCTAGGGTATTTCCTCTTTTGTGGACTGACTTCTTTGCTCAGCATCAGAGTCAATCCCAAATGGCAGACTTCATTTTAGGGACTACATAATTTTCCACCTCAGTTTCCTACAGATTACTGATTCATTCTCTCAATGGCCTTATTCCAAAATCCATGAGAGAGACATTCTAACCCATCCTTTGTGTCTGGTATTTGCTACCTGTACAGGCAGCTTAGATCAATAGGAAAAGCTCAGAATCATATGCTTTGCAGATTCTCTCTTAAGGAAGTGGGGCTAAGAAGAGCTATAGCTGTTACCTCTAATTTGGTAGAGACACATTGGAGACAATTCTCTAATCTTGTGTCCAATTCTAACTTCAGTCTACAGGTTTACTAATTAGAATTTGAGGACCTGGGTTAGAGGGAATTTACTGAATCATACTTCTTTCCTTCATTTTCTACATACCACCTCCAGAAATTTGGGAACACTTTTATTTCTGGACAACACAAGAACAGAACTTGGACATATGCTGGGCCAAGGCAAATCATCTGATTTCGAACCCCAGGTTAATCTCTATCTCTATATATGACATCCTATGGCAAAAAAGAAAACATTCTTTCTAGTTCCAATTTTCTAGCTCCATTAGGGGAACAATGTACTTAATGTATCATTCTCTACTAACTTGAACACTACCAAACTAATGTAAAAATATACTTTTAATAAATAATTAAGAAGTAATATAAATTTCTAAATGAATGTATTTTATTGTCACTCCAAAGTAAATCATATGATGCATTGTGAAATCCAATAATAGAAACAGAAACAAGAGAAAAAATAAAACAGAGAAATTCTATTTTGTTACTGCCAAGAGGCTGGAAATCCCCTTCAAGAAAAAATTTTAAATTATGATAGCAGCTGGAAGCAGTTAGGTATTCCAAAATACTTCAACATTCCTGACAGGCTGTCATTTAAAGATTTAAATCATGTATTTAAAAAAGAAACAAAGTGTGGGCTTATCAGCAAAGTGATTTTTGGAAAAATTGCTTTCTTGTTTCTAAGCAAAGCAGAAATTATAGACACTTGGCTCAAACAAGTCTTTTTCTTCTGTATCTTCCAGAAAATATCTCTGATTCATGCCTGCTGCTTTCTCTTTCCTACCTCATTTTCAAAGAGGTATAGGCAGGAGATGGAAGGGTGTTAATGTCACATATACTGAACTGGTAATTAAATTTTAAACATGTTCATGGCATTTCCTCTGTATACTTTACACATGCTTTTGTCTGCTATTTTACAGTTTGGACTTTTTAAAACTTTGTTTTCCCAAGAGACTCATGAGCCTCTTCCATAAAATGCTTCCATTCTTTTTGTTTAAATCCTCTCAAATTTTCCCAGGACATTCTTTTGCTCCCTGAAAGCAGAGACAATCATTCTAGGGAAGTTGGTTAGTTTTCTATGCACAAGAGTTGTCCCAGGCCCCTCAGCATGGAGTATCTGCCATCAAGTCTAGATGGTGCCTAGTCGGAGGTCTCCATTACTTACAACATCTCTGTTTGCCTGCCTCTAAATTGAGCATAAAATATATGACACCTGAAGCCTAACTATTGTTAGTTAAGCATGCTCACATCCTCACACGAAAGACAGTACTTAAGATTAAACTATGGCATTTACATGTTAGTTATAAATATATTTCATGAGGAAAGCATGAAAAATTCTTTGAAAAAATAAATTTTTCCAAACAATATTTTTACTTTTCTCTCCAATTTAGAAACTTCAACAAAGACTGATGTTAAGAACAAGTCAAAGGAAGACTGTAGTTTAAGATTCTTACTGAAGGAAAGAAAATTTGGATTAGACAACAGATATATATTTTTTTGTTCTGAAAATTTCAAGTTCCTAAATTTGTTTCCTTTTCAAAGTGGGTATCAGGCCACTGTTAGGAAACCTTACAGTTAGTAAATAATCCATGACATTCAAAATGTGCCTTAGGGCAACTGTGATTAGGGATGCCTAATATCCCTATGAGATTATGGCATCATACATATTTTCAGAGCCCCAAAAATCCTCTGTGCTCCAACTGTCTCTGCCCCCCAACCCCTGGACCCTACTGATCTGTGTGCTGTCCTTACAATTTTGCTTTTCTACAATGTCGAATAATTGAAATCATACAGTATGTAGCCTTTTCAGATTGTCTTTTTTCACTTAGTAATATGCATTTCAGGTTCCTCTATGCCTCTTCATGGCTTGATAACTCATTTGCTTTTATTACTGAATAATAATCCATTGTCTAGATGTATCACAGCTTATCCATTCCTCTAATGAAGGACGTCCTTCTCATTTCCAAGTTTTGGCAATTATGAATAAAGCTGCTACAAACACCCATTTGCAGGTTTTTGTATGGACCTAAGTTCTCACCTCTTTTGTATGGACATAAGTGCTCACCAAGGAGCACAATTACCACACTGTATGGTAAGAATATATTCAGTTTTTAAGATATCTTGTCTTTGCAAAACATACTGTCCAAACTGTCTTCTGAAGTGGCTATACCATTTTGCAATCCCACCAGCAGTGAGCAAGAGTTCTGTTGCTCCATGTCCTCACTAGCATTTGGTGTTCTCAATGTTCCAGATTCTGGCTATAGTAATAGGCATGGAGTGGTATTCCATTAATCTGTATTTCTCTGATGTTATGATGTGGAGCATTTTTTCATATACTTATTTGCCATCTGTAAATCTTCTTTGGTGAGGTGTCTATTAAGGTCTTTAGCCCATTTCTTAATGAGGTTGTTTGCTTTCTTATTGTCAAGTTTTAAGAATTCTTTGTGTATTTTGGATAACAATCCTGTCAGATGTGCCTTTTGCAAATATTTTCTTCCAGTCTGTGTCTTATCTTCTCATTCTCTTAATATTGTCTTTCACAGATCAGAAGTTTTCCATCTTAATGAAGTCCAGTTTATTAATTATTTCTTTCATGTATCATGACTTTGGTGTTATAATTTAAAAAGTCATTGCTATACCCAATGTCATCTAGGTTTTCTGGTTTTCTCCTATGTTATCTCTGGTGAGTTACAGAGTTTTGTTTTTTACATTTACATTCACAGATCTATGAACAATTTTAATTTAATTTTTGTGAAGACTGTAATATCTGTATTTAGATTCATTTTTCTCATATGGATGACCAATTGTTCCATGACCATTTGCTGAAGAGACTATCTTTTCTCCATTGTATTATTGCTTTTTCTCCTTTGTCAAAGATACGATGATTATATTTATGAGGGTTTATTTCTGGGCTCCCTATTTATTTCATTGATCTAGTTGTCTATTCTTTCACCAATACTTTGATTAGTATAGCTTTATAGTAAATCCTGAAATCAGGTAGTACCAGTCCTCCAACTTTGTTGTTCTCCAATATGGTGTTGGCTATTCTGCGTCTTTTACCTCTTCATATAAATGTTGGAATCAGTTTGTCAATATCCACAAAATAACTTCCTGAGATTGCATTCAATCTATAATCAAGTTAGAACAAAATTACATCTTAAAAATATTGAGTTTTCCTATCCATGAACACATAAGATCTCCCCATTTATTTAGTTCTTTGATTTCATTCATCAGTTTTGTAGTTTTCCTCATATAACTCTTACACATATGCTGTTAGATTTATAACCTAAGTATTTCATTTTGAGGGAA